AGATAGCAATGTTTGTAAGTTTGTAGCTGCATCTATGGTACTGTATACTCTAGGTCTTTTCTCTGCAATAAAGTTTCCTGTTTCCTTCTTGCAGTGAAGCAGAAAAGCACATGTGGACTGTTCCATAGGGCTATATAAAAAAAATTCTAACAGGTTATGGGTCCAGTTTCCCAGTCAGCCTACTACAGCAAATAAGTGCAAGGTACAGCAACAGAAAGAAGACTGCAACAGAATAAAAGAAAATGGCCAGTAACACAGTTGCAACAAAGCTTTAATTTGCAAATCTGACAAAACAGAACTACCAGTCTTGGAAATTCAAGATGAAAATGATGCTAATAAGAGAAGGTACATGGAAATGTATAAATAAAGTTAGGCCAGAACACCCTTCAGATGAATGGATAGATAAAGTTCCTAAAGCTCAGGACACAATCTCTTAGCTTAGAAGATGATCAAATCATACATACAGTTGCAAGAAAAAGTATGTGAACCCCTTGGGATTACGTGGAGGTTTGCATGAATTGGGCATAAAATGTGCTCTGAATGTCATCTAAGTCACAACAATAGAAGAACACAGTCTGCTGAACATAATACTACACAAACATTAGATGTTGCCATAGTTAAATTGCACATAAGCATTCACAGTGCAGGAAGGAAAAAGTATGTGAACCTTTGAACTTAATAACTGGTTGACCCTCCTTTGGCAGCAATAACCTCAACCAAACGTTTCCTGTAGTTGCAGATCAGACCTGCACAACGATCTGGAGTAATTTTGGACCACTCCTCTTCACAAAACTGTTTCAGTGTAGCAATATTCTTGGGATGTCTGGTGTGAATCGCTCTCTTAAGGTCATGCCACAGCATTTCAATCGGGTTGAGGTCAGGACTCTGACTGGGCCATTCCAAAAGGCGTATTCTGTGCTGTTGCAGCCATTGTTTTGTCGAATTACTTGTATGCTTTGGGTCATTGTCCTGTTGCATCACCCATCCTCTGCGGAGCTTCAGTTGGCGGAAAGATGGTCGTACGTTTTCCTGCAAAATGTCTTGATAAACTCTGGAATTCATTTTCCCATCAATGACAACAATCCGTCCAGGCCCTGAGGCAGCAAAGCAGCCCCAAACCATGATGCTCCCTTCGCCATGTTTTACAGTGGGGATGAGGTTTTGATGTTGGTGTGCTGTGCCTTTTTTTCTCCACACATAGTGCTGTGTGTTCTTCCCAAACAACTCAATCTTGGTTTCATCTGTCCACAGTATATTTTGCCAGTAGTGCTGTGGAATATCCAGGTGCTCTTTTGCAAACTTCAAACGTGCTGCAATATTCTTTTTGGACAGCAATGGCTTCCTCCGTGGTGTCCTCCCATGTACTCCATTCTTGTTTAACATTTTCCTTATTGTAGATGTGCCAACAAAAATGTTAGCATGTGCCAGAGATTTCTGTAGGTCTTTAGCTGACACTCTGGGATTCTTCTTTACCTCATGCAGCATTCTGCGCTGTGCTCTTGCAGTCATTTTTACAGGATGACCATGCCTAGGGAGAGTAGCAACAGTGCTAAACTTTCTCCATTTGTAGACAGTCTGTCTTACCGTGGACACATGAACATCAAGGCTTTTGGAGATACTTTTGTAACCCTTTCCAGCTTCATGCAAGTCAACAATTCTTGATCGTAGGTCTTCTGAGAGCTCTTTTCTGCGAGGCATGGTTCACATCAGACAGTGCTTCTTGAAACCAGTAAACCCAAAACAGGTGTGTGTTTTTTAAGGGCAGGACAGCTGTCAGCAACACATCCAATATCATCACACTGATTGGAGTCAAGGTTGGCTCACTCCTGGCTCCAATTAGCTCTGGGAGAAGTCATTAAGCTAGGGCCTCACATACTTTTTCCTCCCTGCACTGTGAATGTTTACATGTTATGTGCATTTAAACCATGGCAACATCTAGTGTTTGTGTAGTATTATGTTCAGCAGACTGTGTTCTTCTATTGTTGTGACTTAGATGACGTTCAGAGCACATTTTATGCCCAATTCATGCAAAACTCCACGTAATCCCAAGGGGTTCACATACTTTTTCTTGCAACTGTATATGTAAAGTTCTGTTAAAGAAATGTGGGAAGAATTACAAAAGGTGCATGAAAAAGCTAATCTCAGCAATAAACTGTATTTGATTAGAAAGCCATATCAAACCAGGCTGATGAAACACACACCCTGGAAATGGTTGAACACCTGAGAATTACAGGAGAAGAAAGTTTTGAAATGCTTGTCACAGCACTTGATGCACGTCCAGATGAAGAACTGACATTGGAACATGTTAAGGGAAATCTTGTGGATGAACATAAGCATTAAACAGAAAGCACTTATAGTGACAGTGCTTCTGTTGCAGAGTCTACTTTAACCACTTCTTGACCACACTATAGCCAAATGAAGGCCACAGCGCAGTCGTCTCTGTGATCGCTGAGTCCTTTGGACACAGCTAATCACATGAAACGGTAAAGGGCCAATCACAGCAGCCTTTTACCATGTGATCAGCTGTGTCCAATCACAGCTGATCACCGTGTAAATACACTCGGCGGTTATAACCGGCAGCTGTGAAAGGATTAATCTACACCAGGGGTGGGCAACTGTGGCCCTCCAGCTGTTGTAGAACCAAAAGTCCCATGAGGCATTTCAAAACTGACAGTTACAAGCATAACTCCCAAAGGCAGAGGCATGATGGGACTTGTAGGTCACCAACAGCTGGAGGGCCACAGTTGCCCACCCCTGATGTACACTGATAATCAGGGCACTGATTATCAGTGCCCTGATTATCAGTGTAGCCCCAAAAGTGCCCATCAGTGCTGCCCATGAGTGCCCAACAGTGCTGCCTATCAATGCTCAGCAGTGCTGCCAATCTGTGCCCGTCATTGCTGCCAATCTGTGCCCATTAGTGCAGCCAGTCAGTGTCCTTCAGTGCTGCCTATTAGTGCCCATCATTGCTGCCTCTCATTGCCCATCAGTGCCTCATATCAGTGCAGCCTCATCAGTGCCTCCTCATCAATGCCCACCAGTGCCGCCTCAACAGTGCTGCCTATCAGTGCCCATCAGTGCTGCCTATAACTGCAGCCTCATCAACTCACTTCAGTGAAGAAAAAAAATTACCGGCTTGCAAAATTTTATAAAAGAAACAAAGAAAAACATTTTTTTCCAAATTTTCGGTCTTTTTTTGTTTATAGTGCAAAAAATAAAAAACCCAGTGGTGATTAAATGCCACCTAAAGAAATCTCTATTTGTGTGAAAAAAATAATTAAAATTTCATATGGATACAGTGTTGCATGCGCAATTGTCATTCCAAGTGCAACAGCATTGATAGCTGAAAATTGGCCTGGGCAGGAAGAGGGTAAAAGTGCCCAGTAGGAAAGTGGTTTAAGACAGGAATAAAATCAGTAATATGCAACAAGAAACATATGAATGCTTTGTGTGCAAGAAACAAAGCCATTTAAAAGCTGATTGCAGAATCTGGAAAAGCTGGAATGCTAAAACAAACTAAACTACAAAAGGCCAAAAGTCTGAAGGAAGAAACTGATTTTTCTTCAGATAATTAATGTTTTTCAATCCAAACATTGCACCTCATCTTTGCAGGCATGGTGTATTGATTCAGCAGTTACAGTCACATGACAAATGATAGAAATGTCTTTGTTCACCTTGACCAGAAAAGAGAAAAAAAAACACAGCTAATGGGCAAAACATTGAATCAGAAAGAATAGGAGATGGTTTTTTTTACTGTCTTATTTCCCAGTTTTACCAGAAAAATACCTGTGAAAAATGTACTGTTTGTCCCTGCTTTTGAAATTAATCTTTTGTCAGTGAAGAAGCTCACAAAACAGGGCAATGTAGTTCCAAGATGACAGTTGTGCCAGCACAAAAGGGGATATCTTACTTGCAAAGGCTAAAATTACAGATGAAACTTCAGCTTCAAACTGAGGGAAATTCCACATCAGTGTTACATAAGGATAAGCAACAAAGTGACACAGAATAAGAAATGAACTCAGACAATCCAAATACTCTAACAGAAGAAACCAGGCCACAAGAGGCTTCACCCAGGAAATCCACCAGAAGCAATAAAGGCATCCCAGCAAAACGTCTGTCCTATGTTGCTCACAAAGCAATAAAACCAGAGCCAGATTCATGGGATGAGATGCAAAGACTTTCAACCCATGAGGAACAAAATATTGTAGATGCTTTGACAAAACTGCTTACAAGAAACAGATTTATAGAACTGAGAAAGCTCTGAAATAAAGTTTCCTGTTTCCTTATTGCAGTGAAGGAAAAAAGCACATGTGGACTGTGCACTGTCTGTTCTGTAGGGCTATATACAGACTCTCTAACACTTTCAGGGACACATACTTTTAGTTGCTATTTCGACAATGCAGGGCAATAAATTGACAGCAAAGACTGGTACCAATTAGAGCCAAATTATGAACTCAATGGCAAAAAAATACAGGCCTGATAGTTCAGATGATAATTTTATTTTTTATTTAGGCTTAGTTTGGTTAAGGGTTAAGAGGCAGTTAAGCTTGTGGCCAGGCCTTTCTCTGCCTGAGAAATGTTTACATATTTTTACACAAAACTAAATGCGCATTTTAAAAAAAAAAAACGTAAAAACCCAAAACATTATTAGAATATTCAATAAAACTATAACATCACATTTGTTTAACCGCCTCCCGCCCACCATATAAGGTAATGATGGGCGCAAGGCGGTTCTCTCGTTTTGGGAGGATGTCATATGACGTCCCCCCACTCTAACCGCGTGTGCGCGCCCCCGGGGGCACGCAGTGCGGCGATCGGTGGTGCGCTGTGTCCCTGGGGCACAGCGGATCACCGATCAACGGAAAGAGCCGAAGATGTCAGCTCTGTCATGTGATCAGCTGCATCCAATCACAGTTGATCGCATGTAAATAAGGAAATGCTGGTTATCGGCATTCCTCTCCTCACAAGCTGTCCATGCTGAGGCATTACTCAGAGGGGACATGTACACTGATCATCAGGGCACTGATGATCAGTGTGCCCTGATGATCAGTGTAGCCCCATCAGTGCCACCTGTTAGTGTCCATCAATGCCACCTGTCAGTGCCTACCAGTGCACATCAATGCCACATATCAGTGCCCATCTGAGCTGCCTTTCAGTGCCACCTATCAGTGCCAGTCAGTGTCACCTATCAGTGCCAGTCAGTGCCCCCTTTCAGTGTGCATCAGTGCCGCCTATCAGTGCCACCTAACAGTTCCAGTCAGTGCCACCTAACAGTGCCAGTCAGTGCTACCTATCAGTGTCGCCTATCAGTGCCATATATGAGTGCTGCCTCTCAGAGCCCATCAGTGATGCCTGACAATGCCCATCAGTGCCACCTACCAGTTCCTCCTCATCAGTGCCCATCAGTGCTGCCTATCAGTGCCCATCAGTGCAGCCTATCAGTGCCCATCACTGCAGCCTCATTAGCGCACATCAGTGAAGGAGAAAAATCACTTATTTACAAAATGTTATAACAGAAACTAAGAAAAAACATTTTTTTTCCTAAATTTTCAGTGGTTTTTGGTTTGTTTAGCAAAAAATAAAAAACCCAGAGGTGATTAAATACCACCAAAAGAAAGCTCTATCTGTCTCAAAAAAATTATAAAAAAGTCATACGGGTACAGTTTTGCATGACCACGCAATTGTCATGCAAAGTGCGACAGCACTTAAAGCTGAAAATTGGCCTGGACAGGAAGGGGGTATAAGTGCCCGATAGGCAAGTGGTTAAATATATAATAGTTTATTTTAGTGTGTTTTTTAATATCATATCTTTTTATGTATTAAATATGAAATTTTATATGTAATAGATTATAGAATATTATATAGTTTTGATGAAATTGTGTTTTATTGATGTCAAAGGGATAAACATCAGTTTGGAGTGGGTTTGGAGTTCATTGGACAGCTTGTTTCCTTTATTTTGCAGTGGGGTCCAGTGGGTTATTATGCACTGGTGCCTTTTATTTTCTGTGGTTGCTAGGTGACCGATAAACACATTTGTCTATAAAAATGAGGCTTAGACGTCACACCAGCTTATCCTATGAGGAAGTTACGCTATTCATCACGAAACGCGTCAGTAGCGTGGTTAGTGACGTCAGGACGCCAGAAGTGCGGGATCAGTTATTTTACTTCTGTGATGCCGGACAGATGTTTCTCCTTAAACGGGCAATCTTTGTTATTATTGAACAAGAGATTATTTTTTGTGCACGGAACCAGTGCACTATATTTGTGAGTACATTTTGAGCATCCTTTTAATACATTTGTTTTTAGTAGGATACTATGCCATGAGGTATTTCCGTTCTTTCCCTGAATCATATATGACCGACCGAATCATCTATTTGGGATCGTGAGATATCAGGAGTTGTTACCCATATGATTGGGAAAAGGTTGTCTTTGACCTAATCATTAGGTGGAGGTAAACGGCAGCATTGAGCAGAGTGATGGTGCTGCACGAGGAGATTGGGAGTACTTTTATTTCTGTGAATGAAGATACTGCACTGCTGACACTTTATTGGATCATGGGAATATATGGTTTCTATCCTTCTAATGAGGACTGCATGAACACACTTACCTTTTATATTTATTGCAGATTTATTTTTAATGGTTGGTATTTTGCACTTTCTTATGGTTTTGCATTTTGAATAGTAATTCTGATGTTATTCACTAAACACTAGCTGATATATTATTTTTTTGGGAGAAGTAGTCATGTTTTAGTTGAGCAGCACTATTTTGGGAAAGTACACTATCCCAGAGTCACCCGAATCACTTCTATAAGAAAGCTGTCAGTGTGCTGAAAAAAATGTAAACAAACTCATAGCTGCTATTGTGTTTGTGAGTTTATGTACATACCCGTTTTTTACATACCTGAGTTTTTTTTACAGACTATAGATGGTCCAACAGGGACTCAGATCCCCCCCACCTCCTCCACTAATGTGAGTAGAGTAAAGTTATTTAATGGATTACACTGCATGTAACATGATCTCTTAATGGGGGACAGAATCCTGTTTGTGTCATCAGACCTTCCCCTAGACATGTGCAGTTTCTTTTGTTCCGAATAAAAATTTGGACAAATTTTTTGGACAAATTTAAACGAATCTGAAATAATGAAACAAAATTACATCTGAAAATCGAATCAAATTTGAAAAGGAAATTGAAATTTCAAATAGAATAAATTTGAATTCAAATCGAATAGATTACAAAAGAATAGAATAGAAAATAAAAGAATAGACTACAAAAGAATAGAAAATAAAAGAGTAGAATAGCAAAAACAATAGAATAGAATGAAATAGAAACAACATAACCGTCTTCCGAATTTTGAATAGAATAAATGTGAATAGAACAGAATAGAATAGAAAAAAATAGAACAGAAAAGAATAGAATAGCAAAAATAAAACGGTCTTCTGAAATTCGAATAGAATAAATTTGAATTCAAATAGAATAGATTATAATAGAATAGCAAAGAATAGAATAGCAAAAACAATAGAATAGGACAAAATAGAAAGAATATAACCGTCTTCCAAAATTTGAATTTCAGATAGAATAAATTTGAATAGAATAGAAAAAAATAGAAAAACAATAATAGAATAGAACAGAATAAAACAGAATATAACCGTCTTCCAAAATTCAAATTATAAATAGAATAAACTTGAATTTGAATGACAATTTTAATTTTCCGTAAACTCGAATTTGAATAAACAAAACAAATTCCGAAAATGAATTAAATGAATTTAACTAAACAAAATTATATAAATAAATTGAAACAAAACTAATTTTTTGTTCTGCACATGTCTAATTCCCCCCATTCAGAGATACCAAGAACATCTAAAGACAAAACATTTTCAAAACATTTTTGGTAAAGTTGTGATGTAGTCACAAAGCCATGTGAACACTGAATTTATCTTGTACTGATTTGAACAAAATTACCACAGTATTAGTAATGCACTGATGTGAGAGGCGCAACAGAACAGCTATCACAGAATGGCTAGTGCATACATTGTTTACCAGTTTCAATTACTGGAGGCATGCTAGTGCTTGAAGGATGGTGATATAATACTATGTAGCCTGTGACACAGCTTCTTGTTGTATGAGGCTGCCCACTTTTCTTTTCTCAGGCTTCAGAGTGTAGTGTACAACCTGTCCCTTCTCATCTAGAACCTCTCCCTGCTCTATCAATCCTGTCCCTAGACAGTTGGGCTCTGTCTCTATCCTCACTCACACTCCTGGTTTGCCCAAACGCCTTTTATGAGGTCTCCTCATCAAGAAGGCCACCAAAGATCTCGCAGAATTTTAATGTCAAATTGAAAAAAACGTCCTCCTCAAGATGTTGTTCTCAATGGACTAGAAGTGCGCTGATAAGCGCACTCTTATGCAGGCCATAGATGGGTCGAAAATCGGCTGATTTTTCGACCGAAAATAAAATCGGCCGATTTTCCGATCGTTAGTGGGCTATTTGTTTGGCCGTTTTTCGGTATTTTGGCAGATTTTTTTATCGGTAAAGTTGGAAAAAAATCGGCCGATTTTTGCGGCAATGATGGGCAAATCGGCCGATTTTTTACCGTTAAAAAATCTGCGCATGAGCAGTGACCTGCAAGAGGAAGACAAAAAGAAGAAAAAAGAAGAAGAGGAAAAGGAAGAAGAAGAGGATGATGAAGAGGAAGAAGAAGAGGATGATGATGAAGAAGAAGAGGATGATGATGATGAAGAAGAAAGAGGATGATGATGATGATGATGATGAAGAAGAAGAAGAGAGGATGATGATGATGAAGAAGAAGAGGATGATGAAGAAGAAGAGGAGGAGGATGATGAAGAAGAAGAGGAGGAGGATGATGATGAAGAAGCAGAAGAAGAAGAGGATGATGCTGATGAAGAAGCAGAAGAAGAAGAAGAAGAGGATGATGATGATGAAGAGGAAGAAGAGGATGATGATGATGAAGAAGAAGAGGATGATGATGAAGAAGCAGAAGAGGATGATGATGAAGAAGAAGAAGAGGATGGTGATGATGAAGAAGAAGAGGATGGTGATGATGAAGAAGAAGAAGAGGATGGTGATGATGAAGAAGAAGAAGAGGATGGTGATGATGAGAAGAAGAAGAAGAGGATGATGATGATGAAGAAGAAGAAGAGGATGGTGATGATGAAGAAGAAGAAGAAGAGGATGATGATGATAAAGAAGAAGAAGATGAGGAGGAGGAGGATGAAGAAGAAGAAGAAGAAGAAGAAGAAGAAGAAGATGATGATGAAAAAGAAGAAGAAGAGGATGATGATGAAGAAGAAGAGGGTGATGATGAAGAAGAAGAAGCAGAAAGAAGAAGAGGATGATGATGAAGAAGAAGAAGAAGAAGAGGATGATGATGATGAAGAAGAAGAGGATGATTATGAAGAAGAGGATGATGATGAAGAAGAAGAAGAAGAGGATGATGATGAAGAAGAAGAAGAGGATGATGATGATGATGAAGAAGAAGAAGAGGGTGATGATGAAGATGAAGAAGAAGAAGAAGAGGATGATGATGAAGAAGAAGAAGAAGAGGATGATGATGAAGAAGCAGAAGAAGAAGAGGATGATGATGAAGAAGAAGAAGAGGATGATGATGAAGAAGAGGATGATGATGATGAAGAAGAATAAAAAGAAGAAGAGGATGATGATGAAGAAGAAGAAAGAGGATGATGATGATGATGAAGAAGAAGAGGATGGTGATGATGATGATGATGAAGAAGAAGAGGATGGTGATGATGAAGAAGAAGAAGAAGAAGAGGATGATGATGATGATAAAGAAGAAGAAGATGAGGAGGAGGATGAAGAAGAAGAAGAAGAAGAGGATGATGATGATGAAGAAGAAGATGATGATGATGAAGAAGAAGAAGAAGAAAAAGAGGATGATGATGAAGAAGAGGGTGATGATGATGATGAAGAAGAAGAAGAAGAGGATGATGATGAAGAAGAGGGTGATGATGAAGAAGAAGAAGCAGAAGAAGAAGAGGATGATGATGAAGAAGCAGAAGAAGAAGAGATGATGATGATGATGATGAAGAAGAAGAAGAAGAGGATGATGAAGAAGAGGATGATGATGAAGAAGAATAAAAAAGAAGAAGAGGATGATGATGAAGAAGAAGAAGAGGATGATGATGAAGAAGAAGAGGATGATAATGAAGAAGAAGAAGAGGATGATGATGAAGAAGAAGAGGGTGATGATGAAGAAGAAGCAGAAGAAGAGGATGATGATGAAGAATAAGAAGAAGAGGATGATGATGATGAAGAAGAAGAGGATGATGATGAAGAAGAAGAAGAAGAAGAGGATGATGATGATGATGATGATGAAGAAGAAGAAGAGGATGATGATGAAGAAGAAGAGGATGATGATGAAGAAGAAGAAGAGGATGATGATGATGAAGAAGAAGAGGATGGTGATGATAAAGAAGAAGAAGAAGAAGAAGAAGAAGAAGA